AATGTTCGGCTTGTGAATATAAACTGCCCTGCAAAGCCAGGTCACGGTGGGATGTATAGTTTGCGAGGAATCGGTGGTGTTCTACGAATTTGCCCTTAGGACCCTACCTTGAATCGATATAAAACTGGTGTGCCTGTGCGTGAGGTGTTTGCCCACTTCAGGATCCGTTCAATTTTACTAGAGAAATCTACAGCCGAAATCTGGACGCTGTACCTCCAATAGGTCCAGAGATAGAGCCGATTTACGTTCAAATTTCTGTCACGGCGCGGCCGAAGGGGGGCACTTCTGTCTTCCTTGGCCGGAGGCACGCGCGCCCCGCCGTTTAACGGGGCTGCGAAGCCATGCCTCTTATATCGGTGTCTGATGGCGATTCTGGTGTGTGGTCTGGTGGCTCAGGAAGTTTCGTGCTGGATCGCTGATCGTTTCGGCTCTCCGTGTCGTGGGTTCGACTCTTGCCTTTTGGGGGTATTTTTTTATTTTTTTATTTTTTAACCCGCAGGGGACAGGAACTTTCAGGGAATGTTCGGCCCATGAATGTAAACTGCCTTGCAAAGCCAGGTCACTGAGGGGTAAATAGTTTTCGAGAAATAAAAGTTCTAGAAATTTCGAACTACGACCGTACTTTGAAACGATATAAAACTCGTATCCCGATGCGTGAGGTGATTGCTCACTTCCGGATCCGTTTAGTTTTACTAGAGTTATCCTCAGGCGAAGTCGGGGCGCTGTAGCTCAAATACTTCCCGAGATAATTGCGATTTACATATTTTTTTTCGACATCGGCCTGCCGAAAAGGTGCTTTCTCGGGCCGGCCGGGGCGCAGAGCCGCGCGTCCAGCCAATAGGCTGGCCTGGAAAGCTAAGACTCTCATACCGGTGTCTGAGCGCGGGTCTGGAGTGTGGTCTGGTGGCGCAGGCGGTTGGGAACCCACAACCCCGAGCGCCGAGTCAATTCGACACAGTGTATATTGTACGAGTGAGAGGGCGCTATGACGCGACGCAAACTTCTAAGTTCAAAATGTATTGCTCGCAACTATAAAATAGAATTTTTTTAAACTTCGGGTCCGTTGTATGGTTTAACGTTTTTATTTCCTGTTCTAAAGGGAAGAGCAGCACGGAGTTGGCTCTCACTGTTGCTCAGAACTCCTCGCTGGCCGCGCAGCGCAGGAGAGTCTGGACGCTGGTTCAAATCCCAGCGACTGCCAATATTTTTTTTTTATTTCCTTTCCTAAAGGGAAGAGCAGCACGGAG